ATATATGTATTCCAAAACAAACCTTACTAAAGGTCTGAAAACCAGATAAATTAGCTCTATTTTCTGTAAATTTTCATGAAATTAGTTTGCTTAAAAGCAGGGATAAATGTATTACTTTGCAATTAGTATTTTTATTAGTTTGCCCATCCTGTCCCATAGGATCTTATGCCCTTGGGGAAGGGGTGAAGGCTGTCTTAAAACTCAGTGACTGGGCCGGGTGTGGTGGCTCACACCTGTAATCCCAGAACTTTAGGAGGCCAAGGCAGGCGGATCATGAGGTCAGGAGATCGAGACCATCCTGACTAGCCAGCCCGGCCAACATGACGAAACCCCGTCTCTACTAAAAATACAAAAAAATTAGCCAGGCATGGTGGTGGGTGCCTGTAATCCCAGCTACTGAGGAAGCTGATGCAGGAGAATCGCTTGAACCTGGGAGGTGGAGGTTGCAGTGAGCTGAGATCGCGGCACTGTACTCCAGCCTGGGCGGCAGAGCAAGACTCCATCTCAAAAAAAAAAAGAAAAAAGAAAACTCAGTGACTATAAAGATACTGTTTAAATGCAAACGCCAGCTGGGCGCGGTGGCTCACACCTGTAATCCCAGCACTTTGGGAGGCCGAGGTGGGCGGATCATGAGTTCAGGAGATGGACACCATCCTGGCTAACATGATGAAACCCTGTCTCTACTAAAAAATACAAAAAAAATGAAAATTAGCCAGGCGTGATGGCGGGTGCCTGTAGTCCCAGCTCCTCGAGAGGCTGAGGCAGGAGAATAGTATGAACCTGGGAGGCAGAGCTTGCAGTGAGCTGAGTTCGCACCACTGCACTCCAGCTTGGGCAACAGAGCGAGACTCCGTCTCAAAAAAAAAAAAGCAAAAGCCAATGGTAGACCTGCTACATTTACAATCCCAGAACCTAAATGCAAAGATTATGATTTAATTTTCTTTATTACTTCCTTATAGAGTCCTAGAGTAGAAAGATCAATTAGGAAGAACACAGCAGCTCTAAGATACTGCACAATTACTGGGTTGTAGTCACAAAACTAAGTTGTTCTCTTCGCCCAAAAATATGGGTAGAGACTAAATGGAGCCTGCCATTTGTCTAGAATGATGTTGGACTCCCCAAAATCACTTACCAATAAGAAAGCAACTTAATAATCTCAACAAAGGCCTCATATTTTTTTTCAGTTTAATGACTGTTTGTTGGTGACCTTTCCTGTTTCTTTATTTTTTCTCATACCTGTGAAATTGAGAAAACAACAGAAGCCTGCTTTGCAGAGAAATTTTGAGAAGTAACTATAATCGAACATTGAAATCCATGAGTGAAAAGTATGATAAAATGACAGTGAATGAGATCTTTCTCATCCCATTCAAACTCTTCTTTACTCCAGCCAGAACAGGAGGGCTGTGTCATTCACTGTCTTATCCTATACCACGATATCCACCCACATTCCTTCTCACAGGCATTTGAGTGTCATTTATTTAGATTTCAGAAGTGTGTGTTGATTGTTTCTAGACAACTCGAGAGATGATCGCTCGTTCTGCTGCTACCCTCATCACACATCCCTTCCATGGTATGTTTGCAGTTGACAACTGACCTTTTATAACTGATCTCTCCTGACCACTTAGATAGGTTGACGTGGGAGTTGACTAAAATGCCTTGCCTGCATGTTTTTGTTTGCTTGCTTGTTTTGAATTTTTATCAAATTTTTATCAAATTTATCCAGATAGCAAAATGTCTTTAGGTGGAAAATCTTTTTTTTCCAGGGCAATCAAAATCTATCTTAACATAGTTTTTTTTTGTTGTTTTTTTGTGTGTTTGTTTGTTTTGAGACAAGAGTTTTGCTCTTGTTGCCCAGGCTGGAGTGCAATGGTGCAATCTCAGCTCACTGAAACCTCAGCCTTTCGGGTTCAAGCAATACTCCTGTCTCAGCCTCCTGAGGAGCTGGGATTACAGGCGCATGCCACCACGCCTGGATAATTTTTGTATTTTTAGTAATGGTGGGATTTCATCATATTGGTCAGGCTGGTCTTGAACTCCTGACCTCAGGTGATCCGCCTGCCTCGGCCTCCCAAAGTGCTGGGATTACAGGCGTGAGCCACTGCACCTGGCCTTAACATAGTTGTAAACATCTTTTCTCTATGTTCCACAGTGATCACTCTGAGATCTATGGTACAGTTCATTGGCAGAGAATCCAAGTACTGGTAAGTGTTTTTGTTTTCACATACTCAAGGAGATCTTTTGAAGCCAAAGTACTAGGATAATACTACTTTATATTTTTATGATACCTTAGTTTGTAGAACAAATTTGTATCCAATGTCATTTGATCTGCACAAAAAACAATAAAATAGGAGAAAATATGCCCAGGCAGGTTTAGTAGCCTACCTTGGATTTCAGAGTAAGTTGCAGAGCCCCTGACTCCATATGACTATACACCTAGGTAGTTAATATCTTCACTCCTATCTCCAAATTTAGCTATCTTTGCAGAGTGAGAGCGTGCTAGAAAAGTGTGAGGGAAGGAATTTGTAGATTTGACCTTGTCCAATGTGATAATTGAAATTATTTTGTTTATAACTCCAAAATAATCTTAATATATTTTACCTTTTCTTCTTGTGTATGTAGTGGACTTTGTGATTCCATAGTAACCATCTATCGGGAAGAGGGCATTCTAGGATTTTTCGCGTGAGTAAATATTTATTAGTATGTAATTTTTGCATGAGTGGGAAACATTTCCTGAAAATAAGGACAGTGGGCTGGGTGCGGTGGCTCATGCCTGTAATCCCAGCACTTTGGGAGGCCGAGGCGGGCGGATCACGAGGTCAGGAGATCGAGACCATCCTGGCTAA